CAACGTCTAACCTGAGTCTCCTCTTCTAGTTCTTCGTTATGATTATTTTCAGTCATAGTCTCATATGTTCGTTTGGAGAAGCTTGCTTCCTCTTTGGACTTGTACGGAAATACGTGTTCAAAGAATGAAGCTTTTCTTGACTCCAATATTGTGTTTTATTGTATGTTTGGGATTTTAGAATCATACACAAGAAACCGATAAGCACTACTATTGTGTGCATAGCCAATGAAGATGCTATTTATCGTTTTTGGCCCTGTCCTTACCTTTTTTGGTGTTGGAATGACCACTTTAGCAAGACGCCCCACACTCATAAGTATTTATAGGAAGACTTTCTTCCTTTCCATAATTCATAAGGGGTCTTTTCCATTTTCTTTTGGGGCACTTTATTTAAAAGGTAATTTGCTGATAACACTTCCCCCCACATGTTCTGAGGTAACCCAGAACTTATTAGCATTGCATTCATCATTTCCTTTAAAGTGCGATTTTTCCGTTCAGTAACACTATTTTGTTGCGATGAATAAGGTGCGGTGGTTTCATGTATGATTCCGTGTTGTGCACAGAATTTCGCAAATGATGCTTCATACTCACCACCTCGATCACTTCTTAATACCTTAATTTTCTTATTAAGTTGAGTTTCAACTTCACTCTTATAGAGAACAAATTTTTCTATAGATTCATCATTACTTTTTAGCAAATACACATAGGGACTGTTTGATCCACATTTTCCCAACAAAAATGCATTTTAAACATCACATCATGGGTCCTACCTTAGAGTGTTGAAGTCAAATATTGTAGGCTGATTTGATGGAAAAAATGTATTATTTTCTCAAATAATGTGCACCAAACGGGGGCATAACAGTATTTGGTGCTATCGTCGACAAAAGTAATGAAATACTTGTTGCCACCTCTTATCTGTACAAGTTTTAAGTCACATACGTCATTGTGAATTAAATCAAGTGGTTCTGTGTTCTGTTCAACTGATTTAAATGATGACCTTGTCAATTTTGTCTCAACACAAGTTTCACACTTATGTTTTGAATCAATGGGCAATTCGGGTATGCAATTCAAGTTAACTAGTCTTCGTAAAGTATCATAGTTAACATGTCCTAGTCTACCATGCCACAAATTGGAAGACTTAAGCAAATAAGTAGAAGAATTTGTTTTATTCATTTTTGGTTTCACAACCATTAAACATAACCTTTTCCGACAAACATTCCACTTTTTGATAGAATGACTTTGTCTGACTCAAATACAATGCGAAAATCATGCTTATTTAAAAGCGACCCGAACACTAAATTCTTACGAATTTCTGGCACATATAACACATTGTTGAGAGTCAGTTCTTTTCCCGAGGTCATCTTTAGAACCACCTTTCCTTGACCTTTGATTTAAGAAGTTGTTGAATTTCCTATAAACAACTTCTCCCCATTCTCAATTGCTTCGAACGAGTAAATAGCTCCTTATCAGAGCACACATGTCTCGTAGCACCAGTGTCAATCTACCACTCTTTAGGGTTTGAACCCACCATATTCACTTCAGAAACGACAGAAACAACGGCTGAGAGATTCAGCTCCAACACATCTTGTGCCATGTAATCAACTACATTTGTTTCTTTCTTCTTCTTTGGCAATCAGCACTCCGAAGACTTGTCGTCCACTTTGTTACAGTTGAAGCATTTTTCTTGAAATTTCTTCTTAGAAATTTCACCTTTTGGTCCTAGGTTGGTTCTTTTGCCACCAGATGGTCTATACTTGTTTTTGTAGTTCTTACTATTTTGACCATGCTCCACAACATTGGCTTTAGCCACATCAGGATTGAACCACTTCTTTTCTGAACTTTTATTGTCTTCTTCAATTCGAAGTCTAACAATAAGCTCTTCAACGTTCATTTCCTTTCGCTTGTGTTTCAAATAATTTTTGAAATCTTTCCATGCGGGGGCAATTTTTCAATAATTGCAACCACTTGATAAGTTTCACTCAAAATCATTCATTCGGCATGAATTTCGTGAAAAATCACTTGGAGTTCTTGCACTTGATTGATAACTGTTTTGGAGTCCACCATCTTATAGTCTGGAAATCTGTCGACTATAAACTTTTTAGCCCTGGCATCCTCAGTTTTATATTTTCTGTCCAAAGATTCTCATAGTTCCTTAGTAGTTTTCATAGTACTATACACATTGTATAGCGTGTCTGCTAAACTATTCATAGTGTAGTTTCGGCATAAAAAGTCCGAATGCTTCCAAGCATCAAGCGCACTGATTGCTTGAATATCTCATTCTCCTTCATTGAGTACAGGAGCAATCTTAGTCAAGAATCTCGCAAGATTCAAGGTGGTCAAGTAAAACAGCATTTTCTGCTGCCACCTCTTGAAATTCAAGCCATTGAATTTTTCCGGCTTCTCTCCATGATTAATTGGAACAGTAACTGTTTGGTCAGTTGTTGGAGACATAGTTTGACTCACAACATGACTTGGCAATCTAGCCACAATCTGAGCCACAACAGAGCTTGACCCTTGAGCCACAGTTGAGTCCATAGCCTAATTTTCAGTAGACACAGTTTGGGTTACATCCATGTTGGTCGATTCATTTGCCATTTCTGAAAATCAAACAAAAAAATTAGTTTCTAAAATTAACAATATAAAAAACCAATTTTTCCTTTACGAATTTGTTTTAAGTTTGTTGGTAAATTTAATCGGTAGTGTATGGAATGGAATCGGGATCTCATATACCGTATTTGTGTTTTAGACACCGGATTCACACTTACCGTATTTGGCAATTGCTTACCGTATATGTCAGTGCAACTCACCGTATTTGGCAGTGCTATTCACCGGATTTGTCAGTTTACCGTATATATTAGTTAGCTCACCGTATATGATAGTGATGTAACAATAGAATTTTCACACTTTATAATAACTTAAACAACACAGATTTTGGACAAACTGTTTATTTCATAAAATAATTTAAATAACACAGAATTTGACTTTTCACAAACACGATTTCATATCCCAGTTCGTATATACAAATATTAGCTGATTAAGCAAATTAAACTACTTGAATAAGAATGGTAAATTATATAATTTGCAAAAACATAAAAGCAGTATAAATTTCAGAAAGTTAAATAGAATCTGAAAGCATGCTAAAATAAATCTGGAAGGCTTATAATTCTACAAATAATTAAAGCACAGATATTTAAACTTGAAGCATATAAATTTGGAAATAAACTTTTAACTCGAGACCTGTGTAAACACAGTTTCCTTAAAACAGATTCGCTCCCTCACAGTAAGTGCTTGAGGTCTAGTCCGAGCGTCTGTTTTCCAAGATACAACGGCAAAATTAGCAGAATCTGAGCACCACAGAAACTATTCCGACGAATTGAATTTGTGTTCGAACAATATCACCACAAAATTATACTGGACAGAGACCGAGATGCAGACAGGAAGAAAATATGCAGGATGTTTTTCTCCTATTTCCGTGTGGTTTTTTGTGTTTTGAAATTGCTGGAAAGTGGCAATTTATATAAGTTTGAATCTGCATATTAACTCCATAACAATAAATAATGGAGTTGTTTCAGTTTCAGGAAATTCAAAGATCAGTTGAAGAAAGCAAAAAATTGCAAAACGTGGACACTTCAAACGGGCCAATTTTTTCTCCTTTTGGTCCAAAGGTTGCGCCCGCACACAAGCTCAAGGTCCGAAGGCAATTTCGGTCCGTGATTTGCACCTTCCCTGCGCGCGCAGGTGGAGAGAGCCTCTATGCTACACATGATTACACCATTCCAATGTACAATCCTATATAAAGTGGTTAATACTTTCTTCATTTTCCTATTTGAGACTAGACTCAGTTTCCTACATAAACCATCTTCCAATGGTCATCTTTGAGCTCCAATTTCTCATTCATCTATTAATCAATTTTAGCAAATAAATATATAATTTCGATGTACTTACGGAGGAGAACAAGGATTAACTTTGATCTTCCAAATTGGACCAACGGGTCCCACCGAAAATTTTGTCAAAGTGAGCCAATTCACTCATTTTTCCAACAATCTTTGACAAACATATAGTGTGATGTTGGTCCCATATTTTACACACGTGCCTTGAACCTTAATAGCAATGTGGAATGCATGAGTTGGAACATACATATGTTGCTTAAAGTCTAAGCTTCTAGTTCCAGGCTGTCTAAGAAGACTTTGGTTCTCTGTCCCGCAAAATGGTTATACCCCCAACTTTTAAATGAAAATTATTATGCATAAGAACTCGCAGTGATTTTTGAATTCAGAAAGACAGAACAAGGTAAATAAAATGCTGAAGATCGAAGGGGTTGTGAGCTTTATGGTTTAAGTATCAAACGACCGTCCCTTCATATAAAAGAGTAGTAGAGAGGTAAATCCAGGTAGTTGATTCAACCCTTTTATAAACGTGAGAAGGATTATATCGAGTTGAGAATTAGCCTTTTAAATTATTATGCGTCATTGATTTCACATTTATTAGCAAAAATAAAAATGTGCCACGAGTGAGGATTTGTTCTAGTGAAATATGAAGCCCAAGACTGACTACAAAGTCTCTAACTTCAACAAATGTAAGATGATTGGTTCTGGTTATTCTCATTTACTTTGAAATATCTTAGCAATGAGTTTATTTTTCTTCTCTTCCCAAATCTCTTACTTTGTCAATGATATGTTAGTTAATACATATGTACTATCAGTGATATCCTTAAAAAAAATAAAATAAAAATAAAAAATAAATAGAGAGAGAGAGAGAGCTTCTGGAAAGGGAACATTAGAACAAGAAGAAATTCAGTTTTTAGTTTTTTTGTCTCATGCTATTAGCTTAGTAGTTTATTCTATTGTTTATCTTGTATAAAATCAACTAAGACTAATTCGAAAGCATTTTTCTTCTCCTTTTGGTTTGTTTTCATAAGCCCCTCCACTTGCAGAAAGAGATTAGGGGTGTTCTTAAAATCTTGTCGATTACCATAAATCAAGGAGCATTATTTATCTTGACAGATATTTTGTATGACTCGTGGTCCCCAGCTATGACTGTTAGTTCAATTTGCATCAGCATTCTCTCCATGTTATCGAGCTCGCCTGCCAAGGTTTGTTCATTATAAAGTGCATTCTTTTGGTTCTTGCACTTGCAATTAAAAGTTACCTTTTTCTTTAAAGTATATTAAGATATACTTTTTATTATCAAAAATTACGTTTGGTTAGTGAAAGGAAAAATTTGAAAATCATGTTTGGCTCAAAAGTCAAGCTAAAAGTTCAGTTTTGCAACAATTTCTTTGATTCTAGATGGTTAATCTTTTGAGTTGTTTTTCTGCAGGAACGTCCGGCCGACAATGATCGCTACGTGAAAAATTGTAGGCACGGAAGATCTCCAAAGGAGACGAGATGGTGGTTCCATGATGATAAAGTCTAGTAACTGAATTAACTGAACCCCATAATACCAACTCGTATATGGGTTGGAAATGTTGTATTTCTTCCCTTTTGAAAAGATTAGGGACTGAAAATACTGTAAAAGAGCCACCAAAAAAAAAAAAAAAGAGGAAAAAAGAAGGTTCCCTTTCAATATGAATCGCTCTAAATGACATGGAGGCATTAAAGAAAACATTTAGAAAGCTGCTGGGGACTATTATGCCAAGGTAGTTGTGTAGTAGTGATGTTTCTCTACGGTCATGTGTGAAGTTAAAGGCAAGAAATCTCAAATGAGGTAAATTTGCTTTTCCATTGCCATATTGCAATTATCTGTGAAACACGTTTTCTGAAGTTGTTTAATGCTGATTAGGGATGGCAATTAGTATGTAGTTGTGTTATGGATGATTGAACTAAGTCGGACGCTCGATGCTAAGTTCTTCTGGTGATCATTGAAGACATATTTATATACTTATGACTACACAGTAGTAGATAGAAAAATTGACAAATTCTTCCGCTTTTCTTGATTCTATTTAGCGTTTGTCCAATCCAACATACCCAATAGGGTGTGAAAGAATCACTTGAAAAATTGGTTTTGTGGGTTTCGTAAATGTTGAAAGTCTTTTGTCTAAGTAATTTTTAGAGTATTGATGCATTTATTTGATCGGTCAATCTGGGGATGTTTCTTTATATCATGTGGGAAAAACGTGAAATAAATTGAAAAAATCAGGGGGGAGAGCTTTATCAAATATATTTCTGATCTGTTGTCGTGGGATAGAGGTCGGAGAATCCGAAAAACATGTGAATAGATGTTTTGTTGTTATTATAGGATTGGATATATCCGTTGTTAACCATATTGGACATCTTTACATAATTCTTCAAAAATATTTCTGGGGATAAATAAGTTTTCAATAATATATTCTATCAATTTTTATCCATATATATTAAAAATTTGATTTTTTTATTTTTATTTTTATTTTTTTATCTCAATCAAACAGGAACATAGTGACAGTGATGCAAAGTATAAGGGGATGTTGTGGTGGACATTTTAATCGAAATCGAATCTTCTAAATCAAAATTGATCTATATATTGGATGTTATTATATTATAGTTTGGATATTATTTGGTGGAATACTTGCATAAGCTTAATAAAATCAAATATATATGTGGTTGCATATTTTATTTATTTTTATTTCCACTAGATATTTAAAAAATAATTTGCATTATGAGTTCATGAATATATATAGAAATTTATGGGTTAAACCAATTCGGAACTGGATCCGCAACCGACGGTTCAGATTTGTTTCTAGTTACGTGAACCCCCGTGTTCTATTGACGAAATATTGAAAGTATAATGAGTGGTCCAAAATATTGAAATATACAGATCAATTCACCAAATGTGCAGTCATAAAGAACGTATTAATTTAGCTTTTTTTTTTTTTGTCAATATTATTTATGTCCCAGTTTTTAATACTAATTCGTATTTTCGTTAAATGGAATGGAATGGAAGGCAGGCAGGTTGTACATCCCATTCTGAGTTTGTATTTTATTAGCAATAATAGATATTTCATCAGTCCTTGTGGTTTGACTGAAATAAAAAGTTAGTCTAAGGCCTTCTTTTATTTTGATTTTGTAAAAATGATTTATTTGAATAATATGTACATAAAAAATAAAACTAAAAAAATTATGAGCTCATGGGAGAACATTGAAGATGATTTTGAGGAAACATGACTTTGGAAAAAAAAATAAATCGTAATCAACCCAGGGCTAAATTTCAATAATGATAAAAAAATTTAGGACCAATGCCCTAAGGCTTCGTTTGGTACACATTAATGTAAAAATGAGAATGAAAAATATAGTCGTTACGAGCTCCACACAAGAGATAGAAAGTAAAATATGGTGGCTCGGTGTGATGAATAACGGTCATATTTTTCATTTTAAAGGGCAAATAATGGGAAACAAGCGGGGGCTAAATAATTATTCATAGTGGAAATTAAGGGGGGCGTCCTCAATCTAGAGTTTAATGGATTTTAAAACTCCATATAAATTGAAGTATCCTCAATTCAGATTTAAATATAATTCATTAAAATATAGGTGTCCCCAATCTAGATTTTTAAAAATACTTATAAATTTAGGTGTCCTCAACATAGATTTTAATAGGTAGTTTTGAAATTTAAGTGTCCTCAATAACTAGTTGATTTTAAAAGATTTCGTTAAGTAGATAGATTTTGAAGGATTTCAAGGTAAGAATATAAGTACAAAGAATTAGTAACAATTTTAACCCAAACCTAAAAATTTTATAATATTTCTCACCTCTCTCCATATTTGCTGCCCTCTCTCTCCCCCCCATCTTGAACAAGATTTTCTTCTTCTTTCTATCTCACATTTCTCTACTGTGAAAATATCGTGTATGAGAACTTTTCAATTGATGATAATTTATGAAAGATTACTATTTTTTGTTGAATATTGGGTGTGATTTTTTATTGAACTTATTTTTTCTTATTGGAGCTATATATTGTTTACTATTTTATAGATGTGCTGGAAATTATCATGGTAATTTACGATTTCTAGTATGCATACTGGAGCAACTTCGTCTTTCAAGTTTTGTACCCTATTCCTTTTTCTTGGGAAGAACTGTGTGTTTTCTATATATACCTACAAATCCTAGCCAAGACATGTGAGGATGGTATCCCACAATTTTTTCTTTTGTGTCTGCATGGTCAATGAGAATTCTGGGGGTATGAAATTAATTATCTTGTGGTCATGTATGTGTACATCTGTGTGTTTGTATCTCACAAGGTTGTGGCCTTTTGAACTAATTCATATTGATTACGACTTTGATTATTTAACACTACATATTTTTGTCCTCTCCTACTCTCGCATTTTGTTAAATATTGAGTATATTTTTAATTGAAGCTCTGTTATAATATTCAATGTTTAACAAACAATTGAACAAGGATTCGATCATTTCTATGATTTATTAACGTGCATATGTGTAAGAATGAGTCGTTAAAGAAGAAGTAAAAATTTGTGGCTTATGTTAAGCATATTTATAAATTTTACCCAGAATCTATAAAATCCATTGAAATCTATAAAATCCATGAAAATCTTTTAAAATCTACAAAATAGAAATTCATTCAAATCTTATGAAACCTATTAAATTCTATCAAATTTCACACAATCCATGAGAATTTATAAATATTAAGAAATTTATTAAACTCTGAAATGGGGACACCCCTGTAAGCCTACTCATAGTTTTGGAATGCGAAATTCAAAAATCAAATTTAAAATTTTTTTGTTAAAAAATCAGATGACGATTCTTCTTTTAATATTAATAATAAGTTTAAATTAATTAACATACCCACACCCACATCTACTGAACTTCACTCCCAATAAATTTCCCTCTCTCTGTTCTCTACATTCTTTCTCATTTTAGCAACTATTGGATACCTTCGCGGTGGAGGAAGAAAACTAAAAAATAGTGTAAATCGCGAGCACCGGAGTGAATACCGACGCTGCTATGTGTAGTTGTTGCACGCGACGCTGCATGCTAGAGAGCCAATGCAAACGCTGTAGATCAAGGGTGCTGTAGATCGTGATTCTTGTTTTCCATTTTTCTCTATGGCCGGCGCTGCAAATTGGAGGTGTTGCTTGTCTCCCATTTTTCTCTAGTCACATGTGGCCGACTTTGTAGATTGGAGTCGGAGAAGAGAAATGATGGTGGTGGTGGTTGTCCCATTTTTTCTTTGGGTCACATGTGGATAAGTTTGTACATCGAGGTTGGAGAAGATAAGGGATAGTGGTGGTTGGGTTGTGGTGGAGGTGGTACGCATGGCGCTCGGGATTTGGTACAGGGCGTTCGGTACTGTTGAGATCTGGCCACGACGATGGTAACGGAGTTTGATATGTGGTGGTGTTGTGGTCACTGTGGTGGTAGTTTTGCGTTGTTGTGGTGTGTGGTGGTTTTGCGGGGTTGAATGAGGTGGTGGTAATGTTGGTGGTGGTCATGGTGGTTGTGGCAGTGGTGCCATGGTCGTGGGTGGAGAAGGGGTGTTTGTGACCAATTATTTGGTTGATTTTGACTAATAAATTAATTAATTTGTGATCAATAAATAATATGTGACCTAAAAACTGTGGTTTTGATTTACATTTTATTAAGTTGTGATTGAGAAATTATTTGTGATTGATTAGTTTGATAATTTGTGATAGCCAAATAAGTTCTGATTTATAAAATTTGTGATTTTGTGATTGATGAATAAATTGTAACTTATAAAATTTTTGATTTGTGATTTATAAAATTTTTGATTTATGATCGAGAAATAATTTTATCACCAATTGATTCGATAATTTGTGATCAAATTTTATAGAATTGTTATCTCAATATGTTTAATTAATAAAATATATTTTAAATAATTATTTCATAAATAAAGTATAATCAATATCCAATTTATGAAGTTTTAAACTTATATTCTTAGTTTTGAGATGGGTCATACTTAATTTTTAATAAAGAAATGAAAATTTCCCTTATTCATACCCTCAATGGCTACTAAACTTTCATCAGATTTCTATTTACTCACCTAACTTTAAGATGTTGTTCAATACTTACTTATCTTACAATTAATTATCCATCCACCACCAGTCCCGATGGCGACGGGATAGGTATTGGACGGGTTAGTCATTCCCACCCTCCTTCGATCGGGTATTTTTGTTATCTTACCACATACTCATACCCAATTAAAGCGGGACGG